GGAAACCGTGATTTTGTTTTCAGAATTCTTTAATGATTAAAAAGTTCACAAGAACAGTATTTATTTGAAATAAAAATATTTTGTAGCATAATAGCTTTTCCTTACACTTTTGACAACTTAATTAATTCTTGCTGAATAAAAGTAATAATTTCTTTCAGAAAAAACTTACTGACCCCAAACATTTGAATGACAGCATACACACACACACACACACACACACACACACACACATATATATATATATGTATAGGGTTTTTTTTCAGGTACGTTGCTATAAACAACACTGAAATATTGTTAAGCGCAATTATGCAATAATATTTGTGCAATGCTGAGATTCACTTGAATCAACACTTGAATCAGAATCGAGTGTTAATTCTAAACAAAACCAACCTGTTTCTCTAGTGAAATTCTCCAACATCACCCCTACAGGTATCCGTATGGGCAGCCTGGGCCTGTTCCTGCAGTGCGCTACCTCAACCTTCTTCTCGCTGGTCATGAGCAGGCTGGTGCATCTCTTTGGGTCCAGGGTGGTCTATTTGAGCAGCATGGTGTGTTTCACCTTCTCCGCTCTGGTCATCTGCTTGTCCAAGAGCGTCCTGTTGGTCACAGCTATGTCGGCCCTCACTGGCTTTGCCTATGCGACGCTGCAGACACTGCCTTACACGCTTACCTGCCACTACCACAAAGAGAAAGAGGTAGGCATTTCATACTTACATATATTTTCTGTCTTTTCTTTTATAGAAAATAGCATCGTGTATATACAATCATTATGTTTTTATAATTGTTTTATAATTTTATAAATATATATAATTTTTTTTTTTTTTTTACAATTTTTAGAAAGGACAACATTGTTTAAATATTATTTCACTAAATGTTGCAAGCCAGATTCAAACTGGCAGAAAATAAATGAGCACCATATGTCAGTTTGAATCCGTCTTGCAACATTTCCTGATATAAAAAGCCTTGTCCTTTAGAAAAATGCAAATATATTTTGCAAAACTACTTATAAAAGCATTGTGAGCCTATTTATGTAACAAAAATAAAAATAAACTGTAAAAAAAACATTTTCCTTATTTAATGTCATGCCTTTATGGTGCCTATACAAAATGGCAAAAAGACCTAATAAATAATAAAAACTAGATATATTTGTTACATATGTCTCACTTGCTTCTCATCACTAACATCCTTCAGGTGTACATGCAAAACAGCAAAACCAAAAAAACGCACACAAATGGATTCACCATCGCAAGGGATTCTGTTTGTCTGACACTAGACAACGGCCCTGGAGATCTCAACCACAAGAGTGACATTTCCAATGGGCATGTTTCTTACAGTAGAGATGAACCAGAGTATTACCCACCTCTGCATCAGAACGGTGCCACCCTTGGTCTGGAGTCAGAGGATTTTGAGAAACGTGGGGTGGGACTAGACTTTGCCATTCTGGACAGCACCTTCCTTCTCTCTCAGGTCTTCCCTACCCTCTTCATGGGCATGATCGTCCAGTTCACAGAGTCTGTCACCACGTACATTGCCTCCTCTGCCATCTTTAGCGCCATTGGCATCTATTTTGCCACCCACATAATCTTTGATCAAAAGGACCTCAGAAGCTAAAAGAAACAGTAATTATGTGTCATTTCACAGTTCACCTTTTACTAAGCATCATGTTAAATGTCACTGATTAATCTACAGAAAGTGATGGTTAAAAAAATGAGATGGGAAAAAAAATTACATACATTTCAATTATTTTTGCTTTCTTTTCCAAAAGTATTGGGTTCTCCTGAGAAACTGCATTCACTCACAAAACTTTTGTGATGGAAATAATATTAATTTCCTTGCAAATGCAGCATTTCTCGGGGGGAATGCAATACTTTTGTGAGAGAACACAAATGTTTTGCGATAGAACGCAAAGTTTCTCAGGCGAACGCAATACTTTTGTGAGAGAATTTAATGTTTTTTGGGGGGAACGCAATACTTTTTCGAGAAAACACAAATGTTTCATGACAGAACGCCAAGTTTCTCAAGGGATCACAATACTTTTGCAAGAGAACGTGAATGTTTTGCAAGAGAACGTGAATGTTTTGCAAGAGAACGTGAATGTTTTGCGAGAGAATGAAAAGTTTCTCAAGGGAATGCAATACTTTTTCAAGATAATGCAAATTGCAAAGTTTCTTGGGGGAATGCAATACTTTTGCGAGAGAATGCTATTTTTCTTCCCAAAACATATTTTTATTATTAGTAGTATTTTTTTAACATCATTGTCCGTTTAGGCGCTCTGTACCAGTCCTACCTTAGACAAGTGTTTGCTTTTTCTAATGCAAGGCTGTGCAAGTCCTTTGTACTACATTTTGCTGACTGCATTGTTTATCCTTTTTCTTCATAGGTCATGTTTGATTTGAGGATTAATTGTGCTTTCTCAGATCTCTATGGGACCCATGGACTCATCAAACTGAACTTGATGTAATTCCTATTGTGTTTTAAAGACTTTTTGTAAAGAACTATTTTATTGTGTATATATATTTTTATATTGATAATATATACATATATTTATATCCCTATGGGAATTTATAAGCAACCCATTTTGGCGAGGTCTGTATTTATGTAGTACTTTAACCTTGTTTGACTTGTTTGTCAAACAAAAGTGTCTTAATATTTTTTTTATATATATTTTTTTTTTTTTTTTCTTTTTTTTTTTAAAAATGTTTTTAATTTTTTTTTTTTTTTTTTTTTTCCTTGAAATCTTGGTCATTAGACAAGACTAATAGCACAATATTGTCATGTATAAAATCTCAATCTGGTGTTCAAATGACAATTTGGCATATTTTTCAATATGACTTCTATTTTGTGGCTGAGTTACGGTAAGTTACTTTTACAAAACTGTAACATTTTTATTGTTTTATTTGAGTTCTGCATCTGTAAGTACACTCACCATTGGTCAGAGAGAGTGTGTGTATGTGTGTGGAGCTTTGTGTATGAGTGCTATGGGGTGTGACATTGTGAAAGGTTTTCCAAATTCTCAGGATAAACTTGCTGTCCAGCTGAAAAATCATCAGTCCAGTCACAACACAATGAACTAATAAAAGAGGTACTGATATTTTAAATGCTGATAATTTTTTGGTTGATTATTTTGGATGAACTATTTAAAGTGGTGAACTGTCACATCTAATGCAGTATGTCTATTGTTTATAGCTTGAATTCAGATATTTTTTTTTCTGTGTGATTTGCATCAAACTAATGCCATGGGCAATTTTGTTTTAGGTTTCAGATGATGTCATGCTGTGTTGCTTTATGCCTGGTTGTTCCCTCAATAGTGACATACATAAATAATTTTTACTATCCAATAAATTCCCAATGGATAATATACTTTACATTTGATTAAATATGTATGATATTAGAGGAAAAAAAAATTGCAGGCTCAATTTTTTTCCAGAATGTTTAAATGATGTTTGGTTAATCTTTTTGTGTCAGCAGAGGACAAAACCTTCTAACTTTGGCATCAAACTAATTTCTGTTAATTAGTGCAGTGTCATTATGAAGTGGATCCATATGAAATGATGCTGCCGCACGCAACTACTCAACATTCTCTTTTGTTCCTTGAATTAGACTTCTGAAGTGTTTGGACAATTAATGCTGTAGATAAATGGGTCAGGATTTTGCGTGGAAAAAAACAAACTGCATTACGCTTTATCTGGCATACATATGGATTATGTTTGACTCAGTTTTAATTATAGTTTAGCTCCGAATTCAGATAAATAATTATTTGTCTCCATTTAGAGATGATTATACATCTTTAAACCACAAATATAAAGATACCAGTTACTAGGAGTCTGGTCTATTTTATTTTAAGTTTATTTTACATTCTTAAACAATGTTGATAATGAAGAAACTTATTTTCCCTGTAGGTTGATTTAAATAAGTTTGTCATTTAAATCAACCTACAGGGAAAATAAGTTTCTTATAAACATAATTTAATATTTTGACTGATTTAGGTTCATTCAGTTTGAGAAGTGGTGAGTTTTGATATCAGTCTCAAATATCATTAAATCCCCAAGGAAATTAAAATAAATAGCCAATGACTTTCTCCAAAAGAATCTTAGAAGTTATTAACAAAGCTAGGTATTAAACATTTGACCATACTGGGACCTCGCACTGTACAGGAGGATTACGTGCTGTACAATTATGCATAAATAATCATAATAATCGTGATAAATAACATAAAACGTAGAAAAAAATACGTAGCACACTCAATTTTAGTGACTCGAGTAGGCCTATTGGATGCGCGTGAAATTGTAACATAATGAGACAGCGCCACCTGTTGGACACATAGCCTGCTGTCTTTAATTTTTGTGTACCTGCCAGGTGTAAAAAACATATCTATCTATCTATCTATCTATCTATAAGTGATTAGTCAATTAGGCGTTAGGAGTTCAGCTCGCGCTCGGACGTGCGTTACGTCCAACTAGGCTATGTGTTTTTACCCAGATGAATAAATCAAGGGGGCATATTCAAAATATAGTTTAGTGAAAGCTTCCTGAGCAAACAGCACAGGAAGTGTTTTGCAAGATTGACATGGCTCCGCGGTGACAACCGGCCTGTTTTTACACCTTCCTTCTAAATAAGGAAGCGGCCCGTCGGGCATATGACCGCCGGTCCAATTTGGGAGCTGCCAACGAAGCCCATCACGCCCCATGTTCTCTCCCGCTCACTCTCGCGCTCGCTTGGATTGACAGCGATTGGGTTTTAGCGTTCGAACTGACCCCCGGCGGCGGTGAGGTCAGCGTGATGTCATCCTGAAGGTGAGTGATGTCATCCCGAAGATCTCCCAGGCAAGGCGAGCTTGCATTTTGGTGAGTGTGTGGTGCTCCCCATCCAGAGAGGTGAAACATGGTAATCATCATCGCCGCCACCGCCACCAGCTCAAGCTCTGCCGCCCTGCTCTTCTCATCTACTCATCTACCGAGGGTCTTATTGCGTTACACGCTCGCAGCCCCGACCTGCCTTCCAAAAATAAGCCCCTGCCACCATGCCGAAAGAAGAAAAACAAGAGTGGTATTTTTAGGGGCATTAATTTTGACCACGTGCCCCGAGGGTAAACCGGATGGCCACTGCGCAAAGGTTCCTCATCAGTATGTGCGAGAGCAGCGGGCGCTGGACGTGGACTGCGGTTGTTCTGCTGGGCTTTCTGCTTGGGGTCGTGTCCTCCTACCCCACCTTGAACAGGATTAATGCAACTTCACTGGAGAAAAGGTGGGAGACGCTCTTCTCGCGCTCCGTTTTGGGGATCTCGGTGGAGAAATCGGACCTGAACTGGGAGAGTGACTATTTGCTGGGCATTAAGAGAGTGCGGAGGCTGTACTGCAACGTGGGCATTATATATATATATATATATATATATATATATATATACACTGTAGGATATATCATTATTTTTAATTTAACTTTAATTATGCTAAATTAATATATATTTTAATTTGATTATTATTAGGCCCCTATCACTATTATTGTTGCATGTGTCCTAAAGCAATGACATATCTATTAAAATAAACCCTAGTGTCAATCACTGCCAAATTTCACGAGGCTCAAACATGACACGAATGCTTGGACGAATTTAGACGCCAACTAATTTTACACAGCGTCCATCTGCTTGTCGTACATGCCAGAACTGCAGGGCTTTTTTCCATGTCACAGTATAAGAAATGAGCCAGCATGGGAGAAAATGCAGAACAAAGGCTCTGTGCATCCCTTGGATCCACCCACAGAACGCATCATACAGATTGAGTAAATGAGCTGCCGTGTGCCACATTGTCATGTATGTAACACTGATGTTCTGTTCAATCAGGTCTAATAGAAATCTCAGCGGTAGAGAGAGGAGTGGTTAGTCTATACGGAGTGAAAAGCAAGCTGTTTGTCGCAATGAGCAGCCGCGGAAGGTTATACGGAACGGTAGGTATGCCTGTCGTTTGATTTCATTGTATTGTGCAGAAAACGCCACTTCAGTCTTGTAGTGTTAAATGGGTCAGTGACAAATAAGGATTCATCTAGTCTGAGGTGATAAAAATGCCAAGTTTAGTGGCAAGTTCTAGTTGGTTTCATAAAAAATATAGATATATTGATGTATTTATTTAATGGCTCTAAAATGTCAAGTGGTTTAACCATTAAGATAAACTTAAATATTTTCTATGGACTTTGAATACATGTGAGTGTACACAAATAAAAACAGTTTTCAACAAATATCAAGACATTTTCTTTCTTCGTTTGACATGAACAAAATGTGCCTTTTATTAAAGGTCACAACACCACCCAACATTTATGACTGTAATGTGCTGGCGCTACGAAATGAGGATTAGAATGTACATATCTAATTCTAATTCAAGTTTATTTGTACAGCGCTTTTCACGATACAAATCATTGCAAAGCAACTTTACAGCAAATTAAGTTTCTACAATATTTAGTGGTAAAACTTGTGGTGACTGTCAGTCAATGTACATATGGCAGAAATGTACGGAAAAATCAATTAAAGACGTAATCAAACAGACGATGGACACTATTAACAGCAATTATTATATGATGCAATCAAACTTATAGCAAAATGTGGTAAACCTTGAAGACTGGTGACTGAACGCCTGATACTGAAGGTAAACATTTACGAGAAAGACGTGTAGACCTAGGCCTATTTTTTCTACTGGACAACAGCCTTTTTATAGGCTACTGTTGTCTCTAGAACACCATTATCCAACTATCAAACCAACGGTTTGAAATCATACTGTGCCAAAAAGTGTTCGTGTGAAAATGGAACAGTTCGCACGATGGTGTAATCTTTTGATTCAAAAACTGAAATCAAAATAATTTTAATGTATTAAAAAAAAAACATTAGATTCTGACGAGAAAAAAAAGTCACATCAAGTCATTGAATCAAATGTGTCAATTTTCGTTTGATTCATTTGTGAAGTGCACTCAAATATGAGCATCATGCACTGGAATATGTCATTCGGTTTGGAAATGTCTTGATTCCTCAGCTGCACTTGATGTTACATTCAGTACATTGGCTTGTCATTCATTTTTAATAACTGTTGGCTCATATGAGCTGTGATGTTGTGCATGGCTTGAATGTAAATTTGACCTACTTTGCACATGGATTACTTAGATGCCAGATCTCACCATAAGTAACACATTATCTCTTTTGATGACATACGCTCTTAAAAATAAAGTTTTTTTTATTGGCACTGAGAGTTCCATTGAAACTTTCCATTCCACAAAAGATTCTTTCTGGTGAAAAAAAGGTTCTTAAGATTATTAAAATGTTCTTCACACTAAGAAAAATGGTTCTTTTGAAGAACTGTTCACTGAAATGTTCTTTGGGGAACCAAAAATGGTTCTTCTGTGGCATCTTAAACTCCCACTTTGGAACCTTTATTTTTAAGAGTGTAGCAGAATCATGCAATTAGACTGCATTTCAACCTTTGTAACTCCAGGGTCCTTCATTTGCCATGTGATATCAATCACTGTCAGTGGCAGTAGCTTCTACTTAAAAAAATAATAATGATGGTGAATTTAGAGCTTTGTCTAGCATACAGACTATGTGCATGTTATTAACAGTTCCACATTTTTGTGCAAGCGATAAATCTGATGTATTGATAAAATCTATTAATTAAAGTCACTTAAAAGATTTATGCCGTTGGCACAGTCAGAGATCAGTTAAGCAGACAAAGTCATTTTTACGCAATAGAAATTGAAGATAAAACTGCTGGACTGATAAGTTTGGCTTTTCTGATGTTCAGCTGATTGGCATCTCCATCAGAAGCAGCATGGGCCTTAAAAAGGTACCTTCAATCCACGTCCATGCTCTGTGGTGATTGTGAAAGATGTTAAAAAATTAATTCTCATTGAATTCTATGGAAACTGGAAATTAATTGCCTGGGTTTTGTAAGTTGGTTCATTACTCAGTACAATGAACTAGTGTTGCTTTGTGATTTTTACTGCACTTTACCCTAGTTAGATTAGAAAGGAGGGTGTATGGAGAGTATGTGATGGAGAAGTGGTGTGTAGGTCTTAGGAGGAGGATGGGAGGAGTAATACCAAACTAACTATCTAATCCATACCATTTTTAGAGGGCCTTCCGTGACGAGTGCAAGTTCAAGGAGACACTGCTGCCCAACAATTACAACGCATACGAGTCTTCCATTTACAAGGGCTTTTATATCGCCCTCAGCAAACATGGCCGCTTGAAGCGAGGCTACAAGGCTTCCCCAGCAATGACTGTCACACATTTCCTCCCACGTTTATGAGCAAACCTGGCAATAACACAATAATTTGCACATGTTGGATGTTCTCGTAGGTAACCCAAACATGCTAAGAGGTGAACTGCAAAGAACTAAAATAACACTTATGGTATTTATTCTCGTTAAAATAATAATAATAATAATAATATATGTATATTTCGGTAGCTTACTTTGTGTCTGAACTTTGTGTACATGCCATTCTTTGCTGCTTATGATTTCTATTATGAATATTATCGAGGAGCTTTTTTTGCCCTCTCACTTTTTTATGGGTGCTTGCCATAACTGGTGTAAACCTTACCCGGCACTGGACTAACATCCTCAGCTTTTAGAAGTGAAATGGATACTTTTTATTACCTCAAAGAGCCACGTCCGCATTGAAAAAAGTTATGGAGGGAAAAATAAATATCAGTTTACTCTGATCTTCATCTGTTCCACCATTTTTCTAGGGAGATGAAAGCACTTATTTTTCATGATTAGGTGGTGCCTTAGCCTCTGCTATTTTGCCTCCTTTTATGCATGCATGCAAGTAAGAGGTTTTTGTTCCATGTTTAGATCAACAACTAAATAGTTGACATTAAAAACCGATTGCATGCATCCTTATTGGGGGTTAAACTCAGAGAGGGCTATTTTACGCCTCATGCAAGCTCAGAATTTGACTGAAAGTCTGTGGACTGCTAGTCCTGAAAGGTTTGGGTGCTTCCATTTGAATGAATACTGATCAAGCTTGTGAAATGCATAGAATTGCATTAATCTTGAATTATGTGGCACCATTATACGATAGCATAGCTGTTGCTAAGTGATAAGAAAACCGCTCATTTTACTTATCAGATTACTGATTACTGATCAGATTGATACTAGTCAGTGGTGTCTATGTTTTACCTATACTGTCAGTGATCTCCAGTGAGGGCTCATTCACCAACATGTTGACTGCATACTTGAACTCCACCTCAAAAAGTCTTTGGAATGTAAAAACCAATACAACTGTCTTAATCTGTTTGAGATAACATAATTTGCTCATTACTTTGTTTGAATACCAAGCATAGACCCGAACACCTGTGCACACTCTTAAATTCCCAAATCAATTGACTTTATCTAGAGAATTTGGTTCAAGTCGCACTTGAAATTGAGTTGAACTTTGGCATTTGTAGGCATTCCCCTTCCCTGCCCCACTTTTTCTAGTTCTAGAATTACAGAAATAGTTCACCCCAAAATGAACATTTGCTGAAAATGTACTCACCCTCAGGCCATCCAAGATGTAGATGAGTTTGTTTCTTCATCAGAACGGATTTGGAGATGTTTAGCATTATATCACTTGCTCACCAGTGGATCCTCTGCAGTGAATGGGTGCCGTCAGAATGAGAGTCCAAACAGCTGATAAAAACATCACAATAATCCAGAAGTAATTCATACGACTCCAGCCCATCCATCTTGTAAAGTGAAAAAGCTGTGCAGAGAAATACGCACAGATCAAGCACTGTTTACAGGCAAAAACAGTTCTTAACAAATATGTTGGTGGATTTTGATGTGAAGATTTATTACAAACACACAGCTTTTCACTTCACAAGACATCATTTGATAGACTGGAGTAATATGGATTACCTGTAGATTATTGTGATCTTCTTCTCAGCTGTATGAACTCACTCTGACGGCACCCATTCACTACACGGTATCCATTGGCGAGCAAGTGATGGAATGCTAAATTTCCCCAATGTTTTAATGAAGGGAAAAAAACGTTACATCTTAGATGGCCTGACCGTGAGTAAAACTATTCCTTTAAAGATATAACAAACTTCTTTAAAGTCAAATAATATTAAATTATTTTTAGAATATTCGGTTAAAGACTGAGGCTCTCATTTTTCAAAGAAAATCTGTTCATTGCCATCTTCATTTTTCTTGCGGTTGCTGCTCACACTGCAACAATCAAGATCTGTTTATATCTTTGCTTCAATACCCTTAAAACACGTCATGTTAGAACACGTGTTGGATTTCTGTCGCAGCTGCAATGTGCAAGCGAGAATAAAAGGTTTGATATTCACTCCAGTATTAGCTGGTACATATCGACCTTGGTTTCTCTTGCATTACTGCTTTACTTGATATTTTGAGACCTCTCAATGCTACAGGAGAAGGACGTTATTTTTATAACAATTATGGCTGGGATGTTTGAGCCAGGTACACTGATATTTAGATTATATACAATATGCTCATGGAGTGTGTTTGTGACTTTTTTCTTAAAGGTATATTTCACCCAAAAATGAAGAAGCACTCTCATGTCTTTCCAAACCTGTGTGACATTCTTTCTTTGTGGAATGTAAAACAAGATATTTTAAAAATGTTTTGGACCCCATTGACTTATGTGTAAGAAAATTAGAAAGGAAGTTACACAGGTTTAGAACGACATGAATAAATAAAGACAGAATCTTAATTTTTGGGTGAACTGTCTGTTTAAGCAAACCTAAAACTATGGTCTATGGCTATGGTCATTTTTTATGTTCTGGGGATAAAGAGAGATTTTCAGCTGTATTATGTTGGAAATATGAATATACTAGTATTGACAGCTATGGATTTACAGTTCTTTGTACCTCAAATATGGCATGCAATGTGATTGCTTCAATGAAACTGTCGAAATGACTGCTTTTTTATGTATGTGATGACTGATGTTAATTTATTGATATGTATCTCCACTGTACCTTGTCCTCTATCACATTTCTGATCTCTTTATACTAAGATGAAATGAATAGAATTTTGCATGGTTTTTAATGCAAAATGATGGACAGAAATGTGTATCTAGAATTTAAGCCCTCTAAACTAAGTGCTTATACATAAACAGCTATTTCTCATGTAAGTTCCACCAGTTTCTTTGTACTGTACTTTGTCTCCAGCTTTGAAATGGCCCCGTTTGCGGCTTGCGAGATGATTGTAAGGGATGGTGCATGGGTGTGTGTCCTTGTATGCAGCCTTTGTGTTTTCTCAGTTTTGTATTCCTGCACTGAGGGGCAGACGCCCCCTCCAAATTCCCCTCCTATTTTCTAACATATACCTCACCTTCTGCCTTAGTTCCAATTTGTTGAAATGATTGTACGATATGTTGGAGCCAACAAACTTTTTGCCAATCATTTTGTTCTCTGAAAAAAAAGAAAGAAATGAGTGAGAATTCTAATATATTAAGAAAATGTTTCCTTTTATTTTTATACGTATGTGCTGTGCACAGCAGCCAACTGTATTACTGAAATGAAAATAAAAGGTTGTTTTTTAGCTTCTGTGTTTTTGCATTATACTTTAATCATAATTAAATTGGATTTTTAGTTAAACAGGTTTTGAAAGATTTAGATTGTAGGGGGTTAAAAAATATGGATGGTATTAGTTGGGATAGTGCCCCCTCATGTGGTCAAAATCAGAAATGCATGATTTCTTTTTTTTATCTGTGCTTTGATTATTTACGTAAGATTACCATCCTCTACCTTTTATTTCACAAACCTTTTTATTCACAGAATGAGCAAACAAATAGTAAATAAACTGACGATAAATAAAATAATGACATTTTTATCTTGTAAAGCTGTAACATTGTACTTAAACTAAAAATATAACATATTTTAAATATAAGATAAGAACTAAAGAAGAAAGTAATTAGTCAACATGTAAATGAATGAATAACAACGCACATTAGTCCTACAGCAATTTCAGATTTTTTTTACTTCAGTGATGTTGTAAAATCTGTGAATTTCCCAAATAAAATAAATTTATTTGGACTCCCAGAAGAACCACTTGACGGTAATATAAGCTGAATATGGTTGTATTGGGTAAAAGTCTACAACATAAGCTTGACAACTAGCTAGTTTGTAACTAGAGCTATCTCTGTATTTTATTCGGCCGCACCATTTGTTCTAGTCGTAAGCTCTCCGTAAAGTAATGCGTATCGCATATGACGTTTAGCCTCGACCAATGGCAGACTTTGAATACGTGAGCAGATCTTTGTATCCTTATCCTTGAAACTAACCTCTTTTCTTCCTCATGTAATTAAGTGAATAACATATATATTTTAGTAAATAAAGATGAATATATAAACACTTAGGCTATACACAAAACCAACCCTAAAAAAAAAAAAAAAAAACAAAGAAATTACAATTATGGTGCAAAATATTTAGGCTAGTAGTTGGTAAGTATTAATTTGGTGACCCTTCAAAACTAGGCTAAGGTTGTAACTTACGTAAAGCTGGCTCGACCAGCCCCTGGATACAACTGCCAGCTGTAGGTGATCAACTTAAAAGTTCTTGGATGGCAAACATGACCTTTTAACTAATTTTTCCCAGTTATATAAACTAGCAGTATGATGCCTCACTGTATCCTGAGCTCTTGCCTGATTCGGTGTGATCATGCGCACGGCCCATCTACTCTGCCTGGCTGCTCTAATCACCTCTACTCTAATAACTTGGCAGGTACAAAAGGAAACAATCCAAACAGATTTAACAAGAGAAAATCCGAGCAATACGGAGGCCCTGATCAGCATATACGGATATTTCCTGATGATGAAATTTAGTAATAGAATGAGGAAAGCCATTTATCAAAAGTCAAAAGGTAAGTTAAGTTTATTTTTTAACAAACAGGCACATTTCTACTTGTTTTGAATGTTTTAATAACATTATTGGCGCTCTTTTAATTCATAAAGGAGACATTTTACTGAAGAAGCAAGGACTGCTTCTCACTACTTTATATAAAATAAATTATATAATTTGCTTGGATACAACTAAAAACACATATATTTCAGTAAGTATTATTATTTTTATCAATATTGTAAACAATATCTGATTTTACAACATTTTTTAAAGACTTTTGCTATCTAATTACTATATTATGGATTAATATACACTTAATTATTATAGCTAAAATGACATAGCTAATAAATGGCAAATAAAATTATAATTCAAAAATAAAAAATGACCATTGTAAATAACTTGTAATTACAGTACTGTTCTAAAGTTTGGGGTCAGTAATTTTTTTGACAAGTTAATACTTCAATGTTAATGCAACAAAAGATTTCTATTTCAAATCACTGCTGTTCTTTTGAACTTTCCATTTATCAATTAATCATGAAAAAGGATTTAATAAAAATAAAATTAAAAAAAAAGCGTTAATAAAACATTATTATCCTCAGGTTAATAATGGCATTAATAAGGACTGTTTTAAAACAATTCACGGAAAGAATTCCCACCATGCTTTGTGTCCATGGAGGAATGATGCAATGATCAAGATTGTTGGAGCTAAAAGCCACACTGAGGCTTATAGTGCAGAATTACATCATTCTCTGCAGTCCAACAATTATAAAACACATCTCAGACGGAGAAGAAGCCAGTATATTGACCCATCTGATCCTTTGGGATTTGAGAATCCAAGGTCAAGGACCACTAATTATTGAAGATCAAATCGAGAGCATGAACATGAGCATGAGCGCAGCAGTAATGTTTCTAAAGAAACCATCACTTCCTATGATGACCCTTTACACATACTGCTCTCCAAGAGCCCTGTCAGTCCAAATTTACAAAAACAGAAGGAAAACAAGCAAGTTGCACCATCTGATCCATTCTGATCAAACTATTGACCTCTTAAAAATAAATGTTCATGAATGATTTTACAGCCTTGTACCAATGAAAACCATCTGTGAACGACCCAATACACTGACCTAAAGAACTTATAATGTAATTTTATGAAACCAAATGGTTTCAAGGAACCATATAACCAAAGACCTGTATATGATGCAATCTAGGGCCTCATGACCTCAATAGGTGAGGCTATTTAGGTCACTTTTTGGCAGTCCTTTCACCTTTTTAAATCAGTTAAAATTTTAACTACCTTGCAATGCTGTGGCAATGACATTGTTTTCATAAGAACTGTGCAAGAATCTTTTCCATTTATTGATGTAGGTAATATCATGAAATATATATTAATATATATAATAATATATATTATTATTAAAAAATATATAATTATTTAAAACAAACAAAAAAAATATATAAAATGCATTCAAACAATAAAAGGATTTTAAAAATACATGTTCTTTGCTTCCTGTCCTTGTTAATGTTATATATGTGCTGGAGTGTCACAGATTTTCCCATGAAATCTCTTAAATTTACTCTCTCAGAAGTTTCCCAGCACATTATATAAAAACAATCATTAATGTATTATATGATTAAATTGTTGTTGTAATGTAATGTTTTGTGTTTTTGAAATCTGACTTTTTACATTAATGCTTGATGATGATGAGAATCAAGTACAAAGACAGCAAATATTAAGATAAAGATACTGACAATCTATTTAAAACTGATGTTGCCATTTGCATCGGAGTGATATCAGTTGGACTTGTTGATGTTTGTTTGTAGTGATTATGTAATTTTAAACGAGGCAAACAGCATGTACAACCAACAATATATATTTTCTTTAATCAACAGATTGTTTAACTTTAAGAACACAATTTGGGTGCACGAGTTTTGCAGAAATAAATTAATTCAAACGTTCGCTCAACAAACACCTTAAAATGAGTTCAGAGTAGCTGAATATCTTCAATATTGACTGTTCTGTTCTGTTGAAGCACATGTCAGGACACTCTGCAACTATTATGCAAATATGAGGCACATATGCAGATATAAAAATATTGTGTTCTTGCATGTACGTTTTAGGTTCAGTAATCATTTAGGACAGGTTATTATAGTCATGATTTAAAGTTGAAAACAAAAGTTGTAACGTACAACATTAGTAAGAAAACATGCATAATATTATAGAAGCTGCAGTGATTCCAATGAGAAAAATGATAAAATAACACAAGAACATAGACAGAGGACATATTTATTTAGCTAAAATGTATACTTTTATAGCATTTAAAATTAAATCAATAACTTACACAAACTCTCATAAAGAATATTCAACACTTTTAAGAGTAAATATTTAATACTGCCAGTGTCTAAGTAGTAATCACACATATATAACATAGGATACTTATAGGATATATATATATATATATATATTGTAAACTCAAATCCTTTAGATATTTTTGAAAGATTGTCTTTCCAAAAGTTGATATGTTTTGTCTATTACAAAATTCTGTATGAGGAATCCAGGTAAAGTGCTTGAATATGACTAAATGTTTGCATAACACAAGTAAACATTTCATTGCTTTCTTACATTTTACCTTTTCATTTTTTAAACTGTTGCTCTTAACCTAAGACTTGATGTGATCTCTTCTGTTGATGAACACACATTTCAAGTCTGAAAGTGCAAGACCTGCATTACTACATTTCAAAGTGATAATAAATCGGCACATTCCGGTGTTCGGGCAGATGGAATATCGTTGAGCAGCATCTAAACCTCGGGGCATGGGGCACTTCACGTCCTCAAAGAAATACCTTATCGCTATGCTCATATAAGCCCCGTGGCCAACCACCAAGGCATGGACGGGCACATTCAAGACTCCATCATCTGGAAGTCCTGCAGGAGCCCTATCGGTCTCATCTGGTATTTCACCATCTTGTATTTTGTCTTGATGGTCATTAGCTATTCGCTGGAACATAGCCTTGAGAAAATCCTTGATTCGCACCTTTACCTGAAAACAAAAAAGACTTTCTATATACTGTAAAAATATGTACATAAAATTTGCCCGCGCTGTCTTCAAATAGCAGTATTAAAATATGCAATGTAAAATTCAGCCAGGAAACACAAATCAATTTTAGTATTGACACAGAACAATACTACCAACTGTCATGAAATCGAACGCACAGGATAGTGGGATATTTTAGACAGTGAAGGATACATCTATGCTGCCTTCAAAAATCGATCAGATGAAGGCATCTTGGTAGAAAGGATGTAACACGATCATTGAATTTGGACCTTGTTGCGTTCCTACCTCCGTATGCGGAGGCAGCATTTTTCAGATTTCGGATGCAGAAAGTGCTGCCAATTAGTTTTTTTTCCATCACAAACCCGTTATACTGACCATTAATTATTTTTGACAAAAAAAGACAGTGATTTCACCTGCTCCATGGTCTCTCCCTCTGGTGGAGTGAACTCTGGTAAAGGCTGCCCGGCTGCTTTAGCCAGATTTTTCATTTCTATGACTCGACCTCCCTCAGCTATACCAAAATTCTGGAGAAAAGAAATTGGTTTGAGATGCATATGAAACGTTACTTTGAATGGACAGACTTTGAGCTGACATTTTTCTTATTTTATCAAGCAGTAGTCTGTACTTACTCTCTCTTTAAGTGATGGATCCGCTACTAGTTCTATATCGTGACAGGTTCTGTTGTTCCTCACAATGATTTCCGCAGTCTGTAATTTTACAAAGTCGTGACTATTCCAATAACAAAAGTGTCAACAAATACACTGTGCAAACAAATACACACAAGAAAATTAGTATTTGTTACAAGAAGGGCATGTGCAACCTTATATCTTTAGCAATAGTTCCATATTGCAACTGAACAGAAATTGTCTGATGCAAAACATATGATGAGTATTATTGGTAATTTCTTTATCACATTAAATATACTTATTAATACTCAAAAGTACTCGCTTTAATGCTTACTGAATCTTATCCAAGGAAACATGCATTTCTTGCTCATTTGACCTGAATTTGATTTTGGTTATTTTGTCAAATTTGTGGGGAAACATCTCCCTCTACCTGTGACCAGCTTGTATGTTTCTACTAGACTTCTGCTAGTATGTTTCTGCTTACCTGCTTGGCACGTTTCATGTTACTGACAAACACATTTGTGAATTTTACATCCCTGAGGTACTGACCAGCAGCCTCAGACTGCCGTATCCCAATTTCAGAAAGCGGGGAGTCTATTTTCTGACCTAAAAGCAAAGAAATTATAGATATAGTTTGTGGTCAGGAGAGCATTTGCTGAGATATAGTAAATAGGCCAATAATTAATGCGTATAACTAATAGGCTAATGAAAGAACGGAAGGGATACTGATAGTTAGTTAGGGATAACAGATAATGTGTTTCTCCCTAAAAAATTACCTTGTAAAAGGCCATCTTTGTTGCACTGCGTCTCACCACTGGTAAACGAAAACAGCAAGAGTGATCAATAAAAACTACATTAACCAGCACACATTAAGTTAAACAGTTTGGGTTTTCCTAACTTAATGGATTTATGGTAGTAGGCTGTAAAAAATAAATAAACAAAGGATTATTCATAATGTCTTGCAATGAAGACAGCAGACTTTGCCCATGTCTATCTAACATGGGCAGTAACGGTAGAACTTATTTTTCGTTTTGTTTAAGCGAGTAGACCAGGTTAGGCCTACATCAAGTTTTGCCTCTGACCTTTCACTGGAAGAGGGATTCGTACTGACCTTTAAGCATAAGCTACAACAGACAGGAGTAATATGATATGAGGAGCCAAGTAAACTTTAAAGTAAATTCCCACTCTACTAAATGTCAGACAACCCTCATGTATTTTTACCGATCTACAGTAGCCTATAATGCCATGATGTGCTAATAGTGATTTATTTATAACTGCTTTAGCAAAGTATCATTAAAACTATTCTCTCGGATCAATTTTATTTACCATTACTGAATCAATAATGCAGTGATTATCAGTTGGCAATGTAGAATAGCAATGAATAAAAAAAAAATCGCATTCATTAAGTAAACAAAACAAATGAGGCAACTTACTGTCGGACTATCGTTAAACCAAAAGCGAGCATTGGTGCAGCTATTAAGATGCAGTTAACGGTGTCTTGAGGTTATAAGATGTTCATCCACTGAGCCCGGAGTCATTCACAAAATGTCACGCCACTTGTGTTTTCAAATAAGCGCCTATATGTGCTTCTTTGGTGTGACAGCACTGACAGCGCTTATCCCCGTAGCCTACTTGATTAGACGGAAGTTAGTACGCACGGCTGGTAGGTCCGATTCAATTTCACAAATCGGTTCTTTTGAACCGCTCAAAGAGCAATTCTTTTTATGTCAAAACCTTTACATCACTACGCGGTCCCATTAAGCTCTACATACCAATAAAGCTATATGTAAGCATTTTTTGTTTGTTTTGTTTACAAGGGTGCTATATGCAATTTATTTTATCCCAGTTTAACTTGTGGTAGCCGGAACAATAATAAAACGCATTTATATTTTCTGGTTGAACTAGTTCTATTTTTACATAAAATATTATTTGTTAAAACCATCTCTGTTTAGTAAGTTTACTGATAAAGTTGTCATGTCACACATATTTCCAGTGTCTTTAACAATCTGCATCCGGTTCGTGAACAGATTGTTCAGACCGGTTGTGCGCACGGTTGTGGCTAGAAGGGATACAGCAAAAACCGGAAGAAAACAATTAGTTAAATTTTATACCTATTAGTTTGTGTTTTATTAACGTCTACACCTACCCCAACCCTAAACCTAAACCTAAACCTACCCCTTACAATAATGCAAAAATAGTAATTATTGTTGTAGTGTGACAAAAATGACGCTATATTGATGTGCGCATGCCCAGTAGTTTTTACATGCCATCTAGCCTTAACCCGCACCGCACCAGCCCAACCGATTCCTTGAAAATATCCGACTCAAAAGTACAATTCGTTCACGAATCAGTCATATCATAGCTCACGCTGACGTAGAGGTTTGCAGTCACTCACTGGCGCCAGTGGCGCGTGGCGGGCTTTGAAATGGCACGATGTCTGTTAGAGTCGGTCATGTAACGGTTTTATTTTTGGCATTACATTAACTCGACAAATAGGTATTTTATTTTAAATTTTATATTTTTAATCGCTCACCAACTATTCCTCAGTTATAAAACATTATAAGACGTCGAACTACAATTTTTCATCTACTGAAATAAAGAGAACAGGAGACTGAATACTTCTTTAATGGTAAGTTTATTGACCTTAGCATACAGCATGTCCTCTCTTTTAACTTCATGCTCTCTCAATGACAAATTATTTGAGTTCAACAGAAATCCAAAGAATATCCACAGAGTTGCCAAGCCCTAATGATTTTACCTCATAATTCATCTCCTCAAAATCAGCTGTGACAATTTCTGACTTAGTTGTAATTATTCAGAGGATAATTCTGGAAGGAAACATTGTTGAACAGAAAAGTTAAACCTCTGCTTTAATTTTGAAATGTGTCATTTTCCATCTGGCCTGTGTCTGATAATAAACACTACCTTTACAGTCATTCTTTACCAGGTTATAACATGCCGGATAGGTTCCCATTGTTATTTTCAGCGTTAACTTTGCCAATAAAAGGGAACAATAACATAAGACCAACATAGCACCACACTCTTTAAAGCAGATTTATTGAACAGAGGTTGTGCAACAGACATAACTGAGGTACATGATATGGTTATAGTGGAGGAAGGAGGGCTTTTCTCAATGTTGTTGCTTATTTGATATTTACAGGTTTATATCCACTGATAAGGGCTGTGTACATAAGACATTGTCAAGCGTTCATCACCTCCTCCGTCCACTATTTCTGAAGTCTAGGTGGGAGCCTTGCTATTCATCTAAATTCAACTCTGCTGAATTTAGTAAATCAAACAGCAGAAATATCATAACCTCTTATTTGTGTGGTCCTTTCCAGGTTCCCGAAAAAACTGTTGTGAGTTGTGTGAGGTAATGGGAAAGTCTTTTATGTCCAGTAAACCTGAGGTATAGAGATACCACACTTACAGAATGTGACAGAGAAAGAAGAGAAGGAAAAAAGAGATTAAAAGGTAAAGAAACATGCCTTAATAAGAGCACACTGTACAAAGAGCATTTCCAGTCGAATACTCATTTCATGTTCTTCTCTTACCCTCTACCTCTGTATTCTCAAAGTATTCTGTAAGCAGTAAAATAATTATAATACAATTGTTTATAAAATAGCAGCACACTGATGTGACATCACAACTATGTAATGTTATTTTTGTGTATAAGATGAAACAAAAAAAATCATAGCTTTTTAGCAGCGGAAAAAACAATAACTCAATAACAATATTGACACTTGATTGACATCTTCACACTATTTCCATCTCTCATCACTTTGGAATACAGTATCATACCCCTTAAGGAACGTAACTTCGGTTCATATTCAAACTCAAACCACTTAGCCACCCATACAATGTTAACAGTACTGTAATTCATTTTCAGAGCAGAGCTGGGAAAATAATAGGACCGACTAACTTGATACAATAAGATTGACGGGGTTTTGGTGTGAGGATGGAGGAAATGTGGCTTGTGAGACTCAAGCATCACTAAGAACTGTTTCTGGAGAAAGAAAATGCATGAGTACACAAAAACATCTCCTTAACCCACAGAAAGACATGCACACAAGCACACATGCATACACAGATGGACACAAACCTAAACTCGACTGCCCCTTTTCAAGGTAAGCTATGAGAATTCAGCATATGAAAGCCGTTTTGTGCTGCTGATGCACCCTGTTTTTAGCCACTGTGAATGACTTGTGGATTATTTCAAACCCCATGCCAGTTCAACGTTTGGAAGCAGCATATTTAGGATGGCTGGGTAGTGGATATTATGCTTAAGCTCAGCAAAACAGGGTGAAAGTCTACATCAGACTCAAGGCACTATATAAAATTTTTTGCTGCAATGTTGCAGTTGCACAAGTCTTTTCAAATTGAAAACTGCCCTTGGAGCGTGCAAATCGAACAAAGATTTTTTCTTCCATTTCAGTGTTTTCTGTCATCTTGTTTGTTTTTTGGTCTTTTGTATTTATAATTTTTTATTTTTTAATTTGCATTAATATTATTATTTAGTTACTGTTGTTGTCATACATTGGTTTCCAATGCTTTAACGCTATAATGAACTGAACATGCCATGATCTAAACATGGGAAACCAGCCCAAAAAAGAAAAAGAGAGAGAAAAAAATAAAATTGAAAACATTAAAAATGGCTCCTTAACCTTAACCATTTGTTATCCATGGCAAATATGCTCTCTGAACTGAAACCGATGGAGTAACCTTCCCCAGTTATGCGCTAGCGGTATCAATGAAACTGGTTTAGATACTGGTCTGTAATTCAAACATGAGACATAAAAACTAAAGGACAAACAAATAAACAGACAAATAGATTAAAGATCTTAAATATCAGGTGATGTATGGAAACCAAAGCTGTTGTTTCTCCTTTGGCCTCCTTTCCTGCTTCTCCATATCTCCATATCAGCATATAACAAATCACCAAATCACATATCGGCATCCTCATCTCAGCAGCATGCTTCAAACCTCAAACCAACCAAGCTTCATCGTCATCGTCCTCGATCATTCTTGCCTACACATTCCTTTACTGCTAACATAATTAGCACACATTTGCTTGAAAACAACTCCACAACTCATTTTTCGGTCCCTGATGGGACCAACCATATATCAGCCTAAGGCTCCTTCAACACACTCACAACAAAATACGTAATAACATAATAAACTGTCTGTATACAATACAACTGTAATATTTAGTGGGAGGCTGCCATGAAAGACAACCTTACCCACATATTTTAAAAACAACTCTTCTTGCCTTTAGAAGATACAAGGGAACATAGTCGTCTCTGTCAGCTCCCTGTTCTTGCCTCCTCTTGTTCTGTGCACTGGGTTGGGCTCAGCCCTCAAGCAGTTTCCAGGCCAGTAAAAAAAAGCATTTAATATAAGGCACTGATACAGGAGGCCATCGAAGCATTGTGGAATCATGTACTATCCCCTGTCCAGTCCTTTGACCATGTGCCCACCACTGAACCAGTCTCTATGACCAAACACTTGCAGATAGATGATTAAACAAAGCCCACATGACTCACACAAGAGTGCTTGATATAGAGTAACTTGTACACGCTTGCACATGAGCCAACATACACCACACATAAATGCATGCACACAAGCAGCTTGACAAAAGCTTATTTGAAGTGTCTGTAACTTTAGCATCGAGAGCCAATAACTTGCTTGTTTAACAGGAATAATAATAATAATCATAATAAAATAATATTAATAGTCTATTCTCGTGATATAAGCCCGTTGCCCTTGCAAAAGAGCCCTGCGTTCTTAACATAAGACTTGTGTCTCACCACTCCTTTTTTAATCCCCCTTTCTGTTCCTAATGCACTTAGTACACAGCCAAGTGAATGGGTGCGTCCATTCATACTCATGGCACCTCATTGTGTGTTCAAGTTCAGGCATTCCAAAATGAACCCAAAAAAAAAAAAAAAAAAAATCCAAAATTTTTTCCATTTTGCTTTGCAATTTACATCAGTCTATGTAGTGGATGAGGTTTATGGGCATCCGAGGTAGCCCCACTTTTTGTCCCCTTTCAAGCCAGTCTGATACAGTAGACTCTCTATTTTGAAAAGCCCTTTACACTATAACTTTTGCATTAAATATCATATTATATTTACACAATCAAAAGAGTTTGCAAAATACTACATGCTTCCCTTCTAAGAGTCTAAGGCACCGTAGAGCTTTTTGCATCAGTATCAAATCATTTTAAAAATATCTATTTTTGTATCTAAAATAGCTTAGATTTTTTTATTTTTTTCCATTTATGGGAGCAATTTTTACTGGAAAATGAAGATAAAACTCTACAAAGACTAGCAAGCACTTTTCGTTGGGGTTGTTTGTTTTTTTGTCGTTTTTGTTTTTTGTTGTTGTTTTTTTTCCTCTTGAAGACTGATCACAGCGTTCCTGCAGCAAGCTCACAAGTTGATGTCTCGTACATCGGTTGGGGTGCTGGACTGGTCTTGGTCATCAAGTGCTTTGCTCCGGGGGCCACCCTGTTCCTGCTGCTGCTGTTTCTGCTGTTGCCGGCGACCCTCACTCAGGTTATTCATCAACACTCTCTCAATCTGCTCCTGGCATTCCTTTAACACATCCTACAATGCATCAGACACAAGGTGTTATACAAACAGGCCACTTACATAGCTGCAATGTCTGTACTTATCCAGAATCACTTCATCAGTAGTTTTACAGTCAAACCACAAAAATTATATATAATAATAATAATTATACACAATTATTATATACAATAATTACACATACACAACATATATATATACATACACACTACCGGTCAAAAGTTTGGGATCAGAATGATTTTTAAT